CAACTGAACTAGTATCAAATACTGAGGGGTTGCTATAAACACTAGTAAAGTACACATCAATAACATGTATATCAAATATACTTATGTTCACTTTGCCATCCTTCTTTTCCGCCAATCACTTGGGGTAGATCCGCTTCCAGTGACCAGTCCCTTTGCAGTAGAAGCACTTAGTCTCAGGCTTAGGACCAGACTTTGGGCTTCTTCACTTGAGCAGCAACTTGCTTGCTGTTCTTCTTGAAGTTCCCCTTCTTCCCTTTGCCCTTTTCTTGAAACTAGTGGTCTTGTCAATCATCAACACTTGATGCTCTTTCTTGATTTCTACCTTCGTCGATTTCAATATCACGAAGAGCTCGGGAATCATTTTCGTCATCCCTTGCATACTATAGTTCATCATTAAGTTCAGTAACTTAGTGATGGTGTCTAGAGAATTCTGTCAATCACTATCTTATCTGGAAGATTAACTCCCACTTGATTCAAGCAATTGAAGTACCCAGACAATCTGAGCACATGCTCACTAGTTGAGCGATTCTCCTCCATCTTTTAGCTATATAACTTGTTGGAGACTTCACATCTCTCAACTCGGGTATTTGCTTGAAATATTAACTTCAATTACTGGAACATCTCATATGGTCCATGATGTTCAAAACATCTTTGAAGTCCCGATTCTAAGCCGTTAAGCATGGTGCACTTAAACTATCAAGTAGTCATCATATTGAGCTAGCCAAACGTTCATAACGTCTGCATCTGCTCCTGCAATAGGTCCGTCACCTAGCGGTGCATCAAGGACATAATTCTTCTGTGCAGCAATGAGGATAAACCTCAGATCACGGATCCAATCCGCATCATTGCTACTAACATCTTTCAACATAATTTTCTCTAGGAACATATCAAAATAAACACAGGGAAGCAACAACGCGAGCTATTGATCTACAACATGATTTGCAAAATACTACCAGGACTAAGTTTCATGATAAATTTTAAGTTCAATTAATCATATTACTAAAGAACTCCCACTTAGATAGACATCCCTCTAATCCTCTAAGTGATCACGTGATCCAAATCAACTAAACCATGTCCGATCATCACGTGAGATGGAGTAGTTTCATCGGTGAACATCATTATGTTGATCATATCTACTATATGATTCACGCTCGACCTTTCGGTCTCCGTGTTCCGAGGCCATATCTGCATATGCTAGGCTCGTCAAGTTTAACCTGAGTATTCTGCGTGCGCAACTGTTTTGCACCCGTTGTATTTGAACGTAGAGCCTATCACACCCGATCATCACGTGGTGTCTCAGCACGAAGAACTTTCGCAATGGTGCATACTCAGGGAGAACACTTCTTGATAATTTAGTGAGAGATCATCTTATAATGCTACCGTCAATCAAAGCAAGATAAGATGTATAAAAAGATAAACATCACATGCAATCAATATAAGTGATATGATATGGCCATCATCATCTTGTGCTTGTGATCTCCATCTCCGAAGCACCGTCATGATCACCATCGTCACCGGCGCGACACCTTGATCTCCATCGTAGCATCGTTGTCGTCTCGCCAATCTTATGCTTCCACGACTATCACTACCGTTTAGTAATAAAGTAAAGCATTACATCGCGATTGCATTGCATACAATAAAGCGACAACCATATGGCTCCTGCCAGTTGCCGATAACTCGGTTACAAAACATGATCATCTCATACAATAAAATTCAGCATCATGCCTTGACCATATCACATCACAACATGCCCTACAAAAACAAGTTAGACGTCCTCTACTTTGTTGTTGCATGTTTTACGTGGCTGCTACGGGCTTAAGTAAGAACCAATCTCACCTACGCATCAAAACCACAACGATAGTTTGTCAAATAGACTCCGTTTTAACCTTCGCAAGGACCGGGCGTAGCCATACTTGGTTCAACTAAAGTTGGAGAGGCAGTCGCCCGCAAGCCATCTCTGTGCAAAGCACGTCGAGGGAACCGGTCTCGCGTAAGCGTACGCGTAAGGTTGGTCCGGGTCGTCTCGTCCAACAATACCGCTGAACCAAAATATGACATGCTGGTAGGCAGTATGACTTGTATCGTCCACAACTCACTTGTGTTCTACTCGTGCATATAACATCAACATCATTAACCTAGGCTCGGATGCCACTGTTGGGTTTCGTAGTAATTTCAAAAAAAATTCCTACGCGCACACAGGATCATGTGATGCATAGCAACGAGAGGAGAGTGTTGTCTACGTACCCAACGCAGACCGACTGCGGAAGCGATGACACGACGTAGAGGAAGTAGTCGTACGTCTTCACGATCCAACCGATCAAGTACCGAAACTACGGCACCTCCGAGTTCGAGCACACGTTCAGCTCGATGACGATCCCCGGACTCCGATCCAGCAAAGTGTCGGGGAAGAGTTTCGTCAGCACGACGGCGTGGTGACGATCTTGATGAACTACAGCAGCAGGGCTTCGCCTAAACTCCGCTACAGTATTATCGAGGAATATGGTGGCAGGGGGCACCGCACACGGCTAAGGAATCGATCACGTGGATCATCTTGTGTCAACTTGTGTCTTTAGAGGTGCCCCTGCCTCCGTATATAAAGGAGTAGAGAGGGGGAGGCTGGCCGGCCATAGAGGGAGGCGCAGGAGAGTCCTACTCCCTCTGGGAGTAGGATTCCTCCCCGCAATCCTAGTCCAACTAGGATTCCTCGGAGGGGAAGGGAGAGAGGGGGGCCGGCCACCTTCTCCTAGTCCTAATAGGACTAGGGGAGGGGGAAGAGGCGCAGCCACCTTGGGCTGCCCCTTTCTCCTTTCCACTAAGGCCCATGAAGGCCCATATGGCTCCCGGGGGGTTCCGGTAACCTCCCGGTAACCCGGTAAAATCCCGATTTCACCCGGAACACTTCCGATGTCCAAACATAGGCTTCCAATATATCAATCTTTACGTCTCGACCATTTCGAGACTCCTCGTCATGTCCGTGATCACATCCGGGACTCCGAACAACCTTCGGTACATCAAAATGCATAAACTCATAATATAACTGTCATCGTAACCTTAAGCGTGCGGACCCTACGGGTTCGAGAACAATGTAGACATGACCGAGACATGTCTCTGGTCAATAACCAATAGCGGGACCTGGATGCCCATATTGGCTCCTACATATTCTACGAAGATCTTTATCGGTCAGACCGCATAACAGCATACGTTGTTCCCTTTGTCATCGGTATGTTACTTGCCCGAGATTCGATCGTCGGTATCCAATACCTAGTTCAATCTCGTTACCGGCAAGTCTCTTTACTCGTTCCGTAATACATCATCTCACAACTAACATATTAGTTGTAATGCTTGCAAGGCTTATGTGATGTGTATTACCGAGAGGGCCCAGAGATACCTCTCCGACAATCGGAGTGACAAATCCTAATCTCGAAATACGCCAACCCAACATCGACCATTGGAGACACCTGTAGTACTCCTTTATAATCACCCATTTACGTTGTGACGTTTGGTAGTACCCAAAGTGTTCCTCCGGTAAACGGGAGTTGCATAATCTCATAGTCATAGGAACATGTATAAGTCATGAAGAAAGCAATAGCAACATACTAAACGATCAGGTGCTAAGCTAATGGAATGGGTCATGTCAATCAGATCATTCGACTAATGATGTGACCTCGTTAATCAAATAACAACTTCTTTGTCTATGGTTAGGAAACATAACCATCTTTGATTAACGAGCTAGTCAAGTAGAGGCATACTAGTGACACTCTGTTTGTCTATGTATTCACACATGTATTATGTTTCCGGTTAATACAATTCTAGCATGAATAATAAACATTTATCATGAAATAAGGAAATAAATAATAACTTTATTATTGCCTCTAGGGCATATTTCCTTCAGCGATTGGGACAAAGCAACTAAGATCACGCCCCTCCAGATCACGGGAGGGCGGACTCTCACACTGGCTTTCCCGACCGACACCCCTAGAACGTGGCTCTACATGTCTGCAGTCTGCAGCTCTATCGACCACGACTACCTCGACCATGGCTACATCGACATCGACATACAGAGCTAGGTATATACTTACTTATTGGCAGCAACTCAATTCAATAGTGTCCGCGTAGTCACTAGCGTCCATGCCACTCCCGATGTGACTGTGGGAGGGAATAGAGAGGGAATAGAGAAGAGACAAGGAAGGAGCCAGAAGGGGACACATTCATCGTCCTAGGTGCCGACCCATCAGAGGCGCAATTGACGATGTCACAAGGGAGAAGATGACGAAAGCACAACACTTCATATTCAGTTGTAATCATCCACTTCACTCCCGCTACGACTGAGGGGAAATATCAAAAATATATTGTGTTTAAGATAGAGACAGGAGTTAGAGTTAGAATATGTTAAATCATGTATGACTTGCCCTCTACTCAAGTCTCTCTTTCACATGTATTCTATATATATACCACATATAAGGTGCAGATCAACACAAACAACGACACAATATCCACCCATCCTACAATTTCTACTGTCGGGGATCGCCAATCGCGATTACAGGATTGTACCGTCTAGTAACCAAGACCCCAGAATCATCCATGGCATGTTTGATTAATAGTCGAATAAATAAAACATTTACAATGGGAATAATTCAGCTCCATCAACACGCAATCAGATTTATCGACCAACACGATCGGGTTCATCCCTTAATCGCTAAACTGTATGCTGGCAATCAGGTACCTATGTACAAACTACACACCCTAAAGATTAATCAGCACTCTCTCCACTCACAGGCCATCATTATGCCTGCACGCATCAGCAAACACCCGACGATCCTCCTCGAATCACCACCGCCTAATGAACTCAATCCTTAATCGAAAGTTTTTTTTTTGCAGTTAATCGAAAGTTAACGAAGCAACTAATCAGTCGAAGAGCTAGCATGCATCAACCAAATAACCATCTATAGCTACCAGCAAACTGAGACGCTCCAATCCAGCGAATAGATGGATGGATTCAATCAGATCTTCCACATGTCGGAGTAGTCCATGAGAGCCTCGCCCCGGAACAGCTCCTCCAGATCGAGGCACGACCGCGACGACGGCATCAGGAACGAGGTGTCCGCGCCGGCGAGCGCCCCCATGTCCAAGCCCAGCGCCGACGAAGACGCTACCTCCGCCTTCGGCTTGCAGTACATGCGGATCGCGGCCTGCTGGTCCACCACAGCCTGGTAGGTTGAGTACCCGGCACCGCCAAGATTGCCGTTGGCCGTCGCCGGCATGAAGTAGTCTGGGCTCTGCATCTGCTGCTGCTGCGGCGGCGGCGGCTCCATCTTGATAGTCAAATGCTCCGCGTCCGGCTCGAGCGGCAGGGCGGCGCTGGAGGTGGAGCTCGAAGCGCCGGCGAAGTCGTCAGCGCCAGACGGAGAGTCCATGAGCATCGGCAGGTCCGCGTCGTCGAACAGGTTGAGGTCGGTGTCGATGAGCAAGTCATCGAGGAAGGCGAGCGGGTCCTCCATGGCCCCGCCGGCCGCCGGCGCCATTTGCGGAGCATTCTTCGCCGCCAAGTCTTTGTTGAACACCCGGCAAACAGCCCAATCGTCCTGCGCGCACGCAACAGGCAGGTTGAGAATACAACACGAGAAGAATAAGAAACAAATCGCGAGCGCGACATGTGAGCGTGTGGTCCAGAGCATCTCCAGATGCTCCGGCGGTTCGATCGATCGACAGGGAGGCGGGGACAATCGAATCTTGCTGGCCGTACCTTGGCGGTGCGGGGAAGGCGATGGGGCAGCTCGCCCTCGAGGCGGTACTCGTGCATCACCCACGGCGTCTTCCCGCCGCTGGGGGCGCGGCCGGTGTAGAAGACGAGCGTCTTCTTCATGCCGACGAGGACGGCGTCCCGGCCCTTGCCGCGAAAGATCTCCTTATCCTTCCCCGTCGCCTTCCAGTACCCCTTCTCCGTCGCGCGGTTGGTGCGCGTCCCCGTCGGGTACTTCCGGCCCTTGTGCACGAAAAAGAACCACTCTTTCTCGCCCATCTTCGCCTTCCCTGCAAAACGAACCGCCGGCCATGAGCGCGCTGCAAATCGAATCAAACGAACGCTCCTGTCAAGGAGGGAGTAGTAGTACTCACCGGGGAGATCCCACGGCTCGGTCTTGTTGAGGTCGACGTCGGCGATCACTTGGCAGGAAAAGGATTCGCGGAGGACCTTGCGGGTGAGGTAGTGGGTGACCACCTCTTCGTCGGTGGGGTGGAACCGGAAGCCCGGTGGAAGCGCCAGCTTCAGCTCCTCCACCTCCAGATCCATCACCGCCGTCACGTCGGACATCGCGGCGGCACCCTCTCGGATCTACTGCCTTGCTACGCTGTGGAAGAACTTGATGGGAGCGGGGGCTGAGGAGGAGTAGATATGTGGAGAGGTGATTGTCTGAACGGTTTGGGGTTTGGAAGAGCGGCCGGGTGGGGGTGCTTATATAGCGTGAGGAAACTCACGGCAGTAATAATTCCAAGGCAGTAAATTAATGCTCCTACGACCAAGCGGCTAAGCATGTCCGAATGAATCGCTCATGATAACATCCTGGATAACGACTACAATCATCTAGAGTTAATAGGTTGCTACATATCCCGCAAAACAAATTAATATAGGTTGCTAAAATGATTTTAAATCACGGATGAAACTGACGCAATTCACGGCGCTATCTCCGTTCAGAAACTGCCGCGTAATTTGAATGCCGTTGTGAATCGCGGGAGATGATGCTAAAATCGTCGGAGATGGAGCATTTCCTGCCGCTAAATTCTTTCTTCGGCGATTTTAATCCTTGGTTGCTAATGATACTACTTCTGGATAAGGACTATGTAATCACCAAGTGTTAACCTGCTAATGATAAGTGCTAATTCTATTTGACACACACAGTTACGTACTCCCTCTGTTTCGAAATAGATGACCCAGCTTTATACTAACTTTGTACTGAAGTTAGTACAAAGTTGAGTCATATATTTTGGAACGGAGGAAGTAGCTGTTAATGATTATGTACACACCGTTAGGTCGTTAGTAGTGCACACGTCAGTGTCCCTGCTGTTTTTGTGTGTGACCGAGAAAAAGAGCGGCTGATAATTCATCCCAGAATTCCACTTGTACTGTTGTCATGAAAGATACCGGTAACAACGAGCCTTAACATGTAGCTGTTCCTGGCGAGGTCGTCCATATGCAGCCACAGAAAATTCAGAAAAAAAAGGACGACGACTTCGGGAGTGAAAGCATACCGGTATGTGTTGTCGAATCGAGGGTTAAATCTGTAGTTTCAAGATCCTTTTCTCACTAACCGGACACGTACTGATACCGAACAACACACAAAATGGCACGTGAAATGCACTATTTATATGCAGTGACTAATCAGACCTGGCAGTTGAATCCACGGAGTTTACCGACGAGACGAATTTTTAACGGAGACGGTAGGTAGATGACTCGTATAGTAAAGTGCAAACTGATTTGAATTTGTTCAGGGGAAGATATCAAAATGTTTGGCAGTGCAGAACAGTATGTACCACCACATATTCCACTTGCATTGTGCTTAGAGAAAATGTGTTGATAAACTGCGACCATTTTCTCTTACGCGAGTAGTCCTCATGCCGTTTTACGGTTCTCCCAAGTCTACCTTATAAAAAAGTCTACCGTCGATATACGTTTATCATCTTCTAATTCTTTTTTTAAAATGTTCTTTTCTTCTAATTGAAAAATACTCCCTCCTTCCTACAACTAGCTTGAAAAACGATTTTATATCATGGGACGGAGGGAGTAGTAGTTTTGTCTGTTACTCAGGAAAAAAAATGCACCCAAATACTTAGCCACTAAGCACTAGTATGTTATCAACGATCTTAATTTTGACGTGTATAGTGCTTGGATCAGCCAGGATATACACTTATCTATGTATACGCAAAGACTAAATCTTGAGTGCATTAAATGCACTTGGAATTAACATTCCTATCTCGTATAATCAATTCGATTGTGTAGTGGGCGCTACGGAAAAATCCGGCCATGACGCTGCGGAGGCGCGAAATGCCGTGGTTGGTCCTATCACAAGTCACAGGAGTATCTGGAAAAAATAATATGTGTAATTAATTCAGCAAATCATGCCATATCTGTAAACTAGATACAGTTGCAACCTATGCAGTTTCGTGGACATTTCTTCGCCTGTCCATACCCTGGCTGGCTTTTCTGGAGCTGAAATATTATCCCATATCTGTAATGCATCCTAGATTGCTAGTACGAAAAAGAAATGGTCATCTGAATTTTGTATGTGAAGTAATTAGCATAATATTCAACCAAAACCAAGCGTTTCCTCGCGCACAGCAATTCAAAAACCAGTGGGTTCAGAACAATACCGAAGAAGATAATGCTATACATGTATGCAATCATCAACTGATTACCGAAGCTATTTAGTGGCTAACACTTCCATAATTGCTCATGGCTTTGTTGCTAGAAGCTGCACGACGGGGAATCTCGATCCACAAATATACGGCATGGTGTTTGGTGGACCTGATCATCGGTCAGACTCAGAGTCCCTGTCGCCGCCCACATTGTCAGTTTCCGGAAGCAGACAAGTCTTCCTCGTCATTCCTCGACAGCAACACTGTACCTTCCTCAGAGATCACGGATATGGATTGAAATGAAAGTTTCGTTGGCATAAAATTCTCACAACGTGACATATAAAACCCCCAACCTATGAGAGGAAGAGGGAGATTCTCTGGAGATGTTTTACTCCAAAGCCGCGCCAATTTTAAACGTGAATTTTATATTGCTGTGGTCTCCCACGATCGCAGGCCGAGGCCAGGATCGATTGATTTGCTTGGTTCCAAAGGGCAGAAACGAAATGCAAATGCATGGCATATGCAAAAGCCTTCTCACCTAATCATCTGCTGATGTAGTACCATCCTTTTTGCTTGATTCTTCTCTCTTTTTGCTCTTTTTGTCCCGGCACGGGCGTAGTGTTATTTGTGCTTGAAGGGTGCAAATTCACTGCCAAGAGACGGGTGTTCGCCAGTGCTAGCATAGTACGTAGTAGTATGCGCTACTACTGGTGGCCTACGAAAACCTTTTTCAGTTGATTAACTCCTGGAAAGATTTCAGATAAAAAACTCCTGGAAAGATTTCGGTGACTTGATCCACCCCGTAGGAAGTAGCAACGGTCGTAGCCTTCCGTTGCGTGGCCGGTTACGTGGGTCCCGTCCTCATTTTCGTTTTGGAGGGTGAGCGACGAGGCACCGCCGTCACCCGGCCCGGGTCCAGCTCAAGGCTGTGCGTCGCAGCGACGTTTGCGACGGGATTCATGTGGCTTCCAGCTCACTCCAACGTGCTGCAGCTTCGGTGCCACCATTCCCTTGGCAGGATGCTCGGGCGGTGATCGGATAAGAGAACATCTATAACCTAATTAAGGCAAAGGAAGGATGTTAAACAAAAGGATATGGAAATTCGGTAAGTAGAAAGATTTCCGTCTACCAATCACGTTGGAGAAGTTATTTTGATCCCAAGATCTTTATAGAGGGCTTGAATTTCAGGGCATGGACGAACCGTTTCACCGAGGAGGTGGAAAATGCAGTCAACCGAAAGCCAGGAGACAAGGCACCCGGTCCGGACGGCTTTACCGGCGCCTTTTTCCCAAAAAGAAATATCCAGGTAAACAGGACGTTATGAAAGTCATTTACCTGTTCTTACGTTATGGAAAATGCCGTCAACCGAAAGCCGGGAGACAAGGCACCCGGTCCGGGCGGCTTTACCGGCGCCTTTTCCAAAAGAAAAAATATCCGGGTAAACAGGACGTTATGGAAGCCATTTACCTATTCTGGAACGCCCATGTTTATTCAATTTTTAATGTCTTAACTCCGCAAATCTTGTACCCTTGCCTAAGAAAGCGGAGGTGGAAGTTAACACTAAGTATAGGCCTACTAGTCTAATTCACGCCATCGCAGTTGCCATTCGGCTCTTGCTACATATGAATAAGCTCATTTCTAATGCTCAAAGTGCGTTCATCCAGAAAGAGAAACATTCACGGACTTCATTAGAAACCTTGCACGAAGGCTCCTAAGAAATGAAAGCACCCTCACTCCACCGAGGGACCTTCTTCTCCGCCGTGGGACTCCGCCCCACGGGCAAAGGTGGCGGCTTAGGCGAGACAAGGCAGAAGACATCCCCAAAGGACGTCTGGTGTGTAAACATGATTTTCCAAGGGCTTGAATCCGAGCACGCCCAGAAACAAGCTTCCCCATACAAAACTTCTCCTGCTTGTTCTTGATTTTTTAGCTCAAAATAATTGATTTTTTTGAAAATATAAAAACATGCAGAAAACATCAACTAGCACTACACACTGAATTAATAGGTTATTCCAAAAAAATAATAAAAATTGGTGTCAAAACTATGCCAAAATTATATAAACATGCCATGAAAAAATTAAAAATTGTAGATATGTTTCAGACCTGTCAGGTGCCTCGGCGTGAACAGAACACGTAAAACCCTAATTTAACCATATATGATGTTTTTGTATCAGTGGAACCCCACAAACCCTACTTTAAGCATCTAGGGTGCCTCGGCATCAACGGAACACCTAAAACCCTAATTTAACCATCTAGGGTGTCTCAGCGCTGATGGAAGTCCTAAGATTAATGCATCCAACAACATCATATATAAATTACTAGAAGGTCCACACACTCAAACTAACTTAGTTATCATAAGCATATCAAGAAGGTTCACATACTCAAACTAAACATAGTTCAGTAGATTCGTCACACTCAGTAGTTCACATACTCAACCTAACAAGCCATAGTTCAAAGTTTCAGACTAAAGATTTGTTCAAAAGATACATAATGACCAAGATAATCAGATTATATCTTATTCTTCATCACAAATGGCATTGGTGCCCTTGAGCTTGATCTTGTTCTTTTGACTGGCGTTCATGAGGTCGACAACGTAAAACTCCAAGTTCCTCCTCTAAGTGTTGAGCTTTTCCTTCTCTTTCAGATGTGTGAACGTCAAATTCCTAATGACACTGGCTTGAGCAACCTGGATGTGCTTCATCCTTCAGTTTAGTGTTTTCAACCTCCATTGTACCAAGCTCTTGCTTCAAATTGCCCATGTTGTTGTCCAAAACAAAGATCTTCTCTCTTCATTGTCCCTCCAACTCTATTGATAATTGTATTCTTGAGAACTATTCTCCTAGGACATCTCTTGGGACATCCACAACCAACTTGACATGGTTGTCCTCTATTTTCATTTTTTATTCCATAACACCGTGGACACTAGATGAATGTTCCAGGCATGCAATCCTATTAGTATGC